AATGAAAGCCTGCTTTCATTTTTAGCTAGTCTTGACATCGTCAAGAATGAGCGTATTGAGGGTGTCGTCCGTCCGTACGTCTGTCCGTCCGTCCGTCAACATTTGGCTACGGTCAACGATAACTTAAGAATCGTTTGACCCACATGTTTCAAATTGCATATAGTTGTTACTCCTATGGGAGAGGTTTGAATCCTATTGGAGCACGCCAGTCGACCTACTTTTAGCCACGGCTTTTTTGGCAAAAATGGAAATGGCCATAAGTTAGTTCAGGTTCAATGGATTTTGCTAATTTCTGGTATGTGAATGAATGAGGACTGCCCCAAAACACATCACACAGGTTTTGATTATATTTGTTAAATTGTGCAAATTAGGTAGATTTGGCAATTTCACTATGCATTTCAGTGTCTGCCTACGGTCAACGATAACTCAAGAACGTTTGACCCACATGTTTCAAATTGCATATAGTTGTTACTCCTATGGGAGAGGTTTGAACGTCCTATTTTGGAGCACGCCAGTCGACCTACTTTGAGCCACGTCCACTTTTTGGCAAAATGGAAATGGCCATAAGTCAGTTCAGGTTCAGTGGATTTTGCTCATTTCTGGTATGTGAATGAATAAGGACTGGCCCCAAAACATATCGCACGGATTTTGATATTTTTTTTTATATGCAAATTAGGTAGATTTTAGCAATTTCACTATGCATTTCAGTGTCTGCCTACGGTCAACGATAACTCAAGAACCGTTTAACCCACATGTTTCAAATTGCATACAGTTGTTACTCCTATGGAGAAGATTTGAACGTCCTATTTTGGAGCACGCCAGTCGACTCTGGGAATTATTCCTGCATGCATGCACCTATGAAATCAAATCAATCCCATACATGAAGAATACATGAAACACCCTATATAATATATACGTTTTTATGTAAGACCTCTATGTAAGAACATGCGTGGTACAGAGATGCGCACACTAAACAAAGCAAGAATGCTGCACAAGAAAAAAGCAGGCAGCAAACTTACTCACCCAAGCAGACACTTTACAAAACCATAGCAGTTCCACTTCTTCCCACCGCAACAGAACTGTACTATGGCCTCTGTCCATAAGAAAGCTCATTTGGCCTCCTAGCCCTGTTTTCCCCTGATTTGTTTATTCTAAATATAGTCACCCATGCTTAGCCCAAGTTGCACTTTTAATGGAATATGGACAGTAACAAAAATGCAGCGCAGCACTTTATAACCCCGAACAACTGGCATTCGTTTTCAACAGAAATTGCTTGTAATTTTGGCATTTTTACTTTCGTTTATTACGAAATCATGAGCAGCATCAATTTGCTGCCAACATTGAGAGCAGGCAACCAACTGACCTTTGTACGCAGCAAAACTCCTGTTTGACCTAATGCCCTACACCCTGCAGGCAGCATAGCTACACAAATGTTGTGAAAGTAGCAACACAAATAAGTTGTAGTGAATTTTTGCAACATAGACGAGCTCACAGTAGCTATATATATATATATATATATATATATATATCAGGAGCGTATAATGACAAATATTTGTCATATTTGTCCTAATGACATTTGTCCTAATGAGACTTGACATAATGACATATTTGTCATTATACGGTCCTGATATATATATATATATAGCTACTGTGAGCTCGTCTATGTTGCAAAAATATATATGCATCTAGCGGCGAGGTTTATCCACTTTAATTCTGAACCCTGACCTAAAGTCCTTACACCTAGCACCTTGCACGTAGGATGACAATACATACCTGACAAAGTCCTTGCGAAATATGATGCGACACTTGATGAACCAGAGCGCGATGACTTGGTGAGCCAGACTCGCCGTGTAGTGGCTGAACTTCGCCGGGTTCGTGTACGGCGCCGCGATCGCAAACACGCTCATGTACTGCTCCTCGACGAAGTTCGCGTAGAGCCGCGGCAGGTGGATGAGGCAGGCGAGAAACTCAAGCATCGGGATCGCGATGGCGCGCGTCGCGGAGATCTGAGACAGCTTCAGCAGCACCTCGGGAAGCTGGCGCATCATCGTCTCCTGCATCTCGAGCATGCAGACGATGATCGCGTTCACGCACATGCACGCGCACTTTGAGAGCCTCCCCTCCTCGAGGCTCTTGATGAGCGTCACCTGAAGACGACCCGACGACATGTCAGAATTAAAAAGATCAGGTCTTTCACACAAATCGATTACTTAATTATGGATTTCGGAAACAAATAACAGATGAAATAACAGATGAAATAACAGATGAAATGAAGATATGAAATAACAGATGAAATAACAGATGAAATAATGATGAAAAACAGCTGTTAGAATTAAAAAGATCAGGTCTTTCACACCAACCGATTACTTAAAGGCATAATAGGTCCATTGATTATGCAATTTTAACGAATACTAGAGTAACTGGCACCTTGTGTAGTTAATAAGTACATTACCTTATAG